TGAGTGCGCAACAGCTTGCTGTTCAAAAGAAATGCAATGGCAATTTGGTCGATTGCCATTACATTGCATGTCTGCAGCTTTTTGTGTTTGTCATGTTGCTTGCCTCTACCAACAATTGCTAAGGCAGGTTGCGCTGTCAGGATATGTGAGGATCAAAGTCTTTAAAGTCTAGGCAGTTTTGTGTGGATCATGTTGCTTCATCCTGATTGAACAATTTTGAACATGCAATTATACATGTTATCATATCATATTGTATACATGTCAAGACCAAACAACGTAAGTTTCAGTTTCTTTGAACACCATGTCCTGTTTGCTTCATCACCACTACTGGGTGCACCAACAGATTTGTTGTGATTATTGTCATGGTTATCATGATAGTTATCATTATATATTGGCACACACGTTTAATGCATTATGAGCAACACTTCAACTGAATGTGTGGGTCTTCCTTCAACGATGAATGAGAGTACCCGAGAGAGTTTGTTGATGGAAACACTGAACACCCAGCACCGGCACACTGTTTGTCGACGAGTAGAATTCAAGCCGTCAAAGTCGTGTGTTTTGCTGCTAGCTGAGTGTTTACCCATGAGAAGCCCTCTTGACCTGACATTTCTGGCACCGTAGATCGACAAACTGTCCACATATGTTGATTTCCACATGTTTTGGATGTTTTTTTTGTGTTTTTCCATCGAACCAAGCACACCACATGTTTCAATGGTAGGTTCATTTCTGTTTTTGTGTACTTGTGGAAGATCAAAGCACCTGTTTGTGTCGTGCACGGTCAAATTCATCCAACCATTTCCATGACCTGCTCAAGGTGTGCAATCGTTTCGCTGCCTTCATGGCAATCATCTTCGGCTTAGCTACTTGGCCGACAGTCGAGTCAGTTCTGAGTTCTGTTCGAGTCAGTTCTGAGTTTTGCACGGTTTGCTTTGGCATAGATGTGTCCGGCCTTCTACGCAAGTGGAACGAACGGCCAGGTGTGCTTTGCCACCTCCGTCGGGGGCGAAGCCGAGAAACGAGACGAGACCGGCGGAGGCGGCGCTTTTCTTGAATGCCATACAAACCATGGAAACCCAGGGAAAAGTGGGGCGTTTGTTTGGCGATGGAGAGATGTTCTTTATCGGTGTTCCACTGGAAACTCTAGAGAGATGCACAAAACAATAAGGTTGGACACGAGGCAGTATGCACTGTCATTCTGGCTTGCCCTGCAAGGCAGTCGGCAGTCTGAAGACGAGGTACTCCGTCCACGCATCGCACTGTGATTTGTCAGCTGGGGTTCACAGCATGACTCCTTGGCATGACCGTGTGAATCAACTAGGCTGAAGTGCTGACCTATGACTACAAGGGCTGGTGCTGCTGTCTTGTCTTTTTCGCCGGTTTGAAGACGACGGAGCTGGGTGTGGCAGGAGGCTGTTCGGATGTAGGACGTAGGGGACAGATGAATCCCTAAGTGGTCTGTTTAGTGCATGATTCTGATTGTGCCGGTGCCGATCAGCCCTGAGTCCACTATATTGTCTTGGATCCACTCGTGATCAGCCTTGCCGGAAATGGTCAAACCCATCCGAATCGTCCCCGGTTGATGACTCTCAATCCGGTGCCATAACATGCCATAACACTCACTTGTTCCCTATCCAAATTATCCAAGCTCTTTTGGTCAACCGAGCCAATCCTTGGTGGTACATCGCGTGGTCCGCGCGGGGTTTGGTTGGTGAGACCGAGGCAACACAGATGTGGATCTTGATGTGGTATTTAAAGATATTAGATATTTAAAGTTAATTGTGTATTAATTAACGTATGTCATTTATTGTCAATTTATGTTTGTCAATTGAATATGTTCTATACAGAAGATATCATATGTTTGCATGAAGTTGTTCCGACTATTTTTTTTTGCTTCCAGAAAGCTGGGTGTCTCCACATAATGAATATCCATGAAAGGCTTGTTGCCACCTAAGTTAGTGATGTTTGCGGGAAGATTAGAAGCATGAAGTCGTTATGAAATTGTGCAACCTCACCATTAACAAACATGTACAGTGTACAGTGTTTTAATAGATTTTAGTTTTTGTGTAGACCAGCCTACACTTCAATTTTCTGAGCTGTTCTAGGTCTGGAGAGAGGTTAGACAAAACAAAGCACCTTGGCAAAACAATCTTTGCACAGTATTGCACAGTTGTAGAATTCCTGAGCCTTTGAGTACTTGGGATGCCAAAACTACTTGCTCTTTAAGTGTGGCGTGTGGACCTGGTCATTTGGAACAGGAACAAAGAAACCAAAGAAACAACAAACAAACTAACAAGTGTTTCTTCGAATTTGGATATTTAACAACAACCAAATTGATAAACAGCACTTGTTTAAAGCGTATAAGAATGTGTAGTTCTTATAACCACAAATCAGAATAACAACAATTTAATGCTTAGCAAGTGTAATTATTATATATATATATTGCTTATTGTCGAACATTAAATACATTAAGCAACACATATTGTTTAGCACAGTCGAAGCGTATTACTCAATAATGATAGTGAAAATGCAAAGCACAAACTAAAATGCACAAATACTATGTAAAACCAACACATAAAATATTGTTATTTATTTTTTAGTGTTGAACAATCAAGACATAACTCATAAAAACGTGACATTCTATTCTCAAACATATAATATTAATATTCGGAATATTATACCTGTTTTATTTCTTCTTTGGAGAGCTTTTTTCGTTGATATTGTTGTTGCGTTAGCTGATTTTTTGGAGTTGCTTCTTTTCTTGCTTTTCCTTGCTTCTCTATGACCTCTCCTGCTTTTCTTGCTTTTCCTTGCTTCTCACTGCCACACTGCCTTTCTGTAGTTGCTCCAGCTTTTCTTGTTTTGTTGCTTTTCTGCGCTAGTCTTGCTTTTTCCTTGCTGTTCATTGCTTCTTTGTGAATGCTTGATTTTTCTGACGTCTCCTGCTCCTTTTTGGCTTTTCTCCTTTACTTTCCTTCTCGTCTTTTTGTGGCACATTGACTCCCTATCATAATGTTGTTCTTTCTATTTGTTGCTTTCATTTTTGTTGGACGTATTGGGCAGCATGGGCAATCTGGTGATGTTTCGTATTACTTTGTTTAAAGTTCCTTTTGCCTGATGACATGAGATTTATACAACCCGGACACAAAGGGGACAAGGCAATTGACTTGGGAATGTGTGAGTTTCCATGTTTGTTTCTACATCCCATGTCATCCGAAAGTAGTATATAGATGTATATAGCCTTTTCAGGTCAACTGAATCGAAGGAACTTTTTGAAGTGCAGATTTCGTGGCAACTGCAATACTTTGCGAACCTTGAAGTGCAGATTTCGCGGCGTGCACAGCACTTTTCGTGGCAGGTGCAGCTGGAAGTATGGTTTTCGTGGGAGGGGCAGGACCTTGACGTGCAGATTTCGTGGGGGCGAAGCAAATGCACTCTCATCTTTGCTTCCGCGGGTGGCCTCATATATCTATATATATATATATATATGCGCCCATATGTACGCTCTCATGTGTGTGCTCTCATGCGTGTTCTTTTGCATGTCCTTTCATTTGTCTGCTCTCTAGACCTCCGGCCCCAGATCTCTAGAAATGCACCCCTAGACCTATACAACCCTGAAGCTAGACCTTCAGGTCAAAACATGGTTTGTCAACCTCACTGCCACCACGACCGCCACCATCACCGCCACCATCGCCACCACCACCACCACCATCACTATCACCACCATCACCATCGCCACCATCATCACCACCTTCATCACCACTACCGCCATCATCACCATCACCACCATCAACAACACCACCAACCCACCACCTTGACCACCATCACCACCACCACCACCCCACCACCACCACCACCACCATCACCATCACCCCCATCACCATCACCCCCATCACCACCTCCGCCATCACCACCATAATCATCACCATCACCACCTTGATCACCACGACCATCACCACCACCATGACCACCACCATCGCCGTCATCACCGCCACCATCACCACCACCAGCACCACAGTCGCCACCACCATCGCCACCACTACAGTTACCATCATCGCCATTATTTTCATTACCTGCACCACCATCACTTCTGTTTGGAGCCCAATGCGGCTAGATGCCTAGACTCTGGACCTTCTGCTTCTACACTTGTAGACCTCTTTTGGAAATTGTGTTCACTCATTTTTGTCAGGGTCGTGTATGTCCAACAACATGATAGTTTTTCAATGTGTGTTTGACGACCAGGTCAGGTCAGGTAAACCCTGAGCATTTCTTGGAACCAATGTTGTTGAAATGAAAGAAGGTGTTGAGGAGGGTTGTTTCAGGCAGCTTATGCTCCGGATTTATGACTATGGCTTTGTTTTTAGATCATACTGGAGTCAGCACGGCCAGCAGGGTTGTTTCAGGTCATGGGCTTCAACAGGCCCAAAAGAAGGTCTTTTTTTGTGAACCCCAAGTTGACAAATTTGGTAGGAGTGACATTGGCTAGGCTTGATGTTGACGCTCCAACCCTGCCAGGAGTGCTCTCCGCTATGGGATTTGCGCACGTTTCTTTGTCTCAAGCTGGATGTTATTGGATATATATATATATATTATATATACCTGGGGCCGGTTGGTCCTCTCTTTTGATCATAGGGTCATGGAATGAACATGTATAAGTTGGATTCCTCAAAATACGGCCCTTTGCCAAAAACACGTACCTTCCATATTTTGTGTTTTCATGATGATCACTAATTGCTATTGAAACATCAATCGTTGGTGTTATACAACTCACAAAAACATCATGCCAACCAACCCTTCCAATCCGCCCACGTGCCCATTCCTCAGCTGTTTCTTTCTCACGGTGCTTCGTGAGTGCAGCTTCGATCAACCGTTCGGGATCCAAGCTCTGACAGGGTGTTGGAGGGCCACTGCAATGAGTAGTTTGCCGAACCATTGGTGGTGGATTCTGTTGGATACACAAAAGGTGGATTGATGAACCTTAAGATGCATTGTAAAGGTTATCACACATCGGGATACCCATCCATACCCCTTTCATCACTATCAGCCACTCGCCAGCTGTCCTGGTAAACAATCAAAGTTCTCATAATCAGTGATTTATGCAGGGATCGTATGTTGACTCTCCTGCTGATTCTCGAGGGCCTTCCGATGAAATCTTCCTGAATCTGGTTTGTCATGGCTAGCGGGTTGTGTGCCCACTCCGCACGAGATGATTGGTCTTGAAGGTCAAAGGCAGCGTGCGCAAGCATGTGTAGCTTCGGCACCATTGCGAAGCGCCGTTTTCCCTGCCTCAATGTCAACTCTGCACACTTAGCGTACAATGCCAAGAACCGAAACATCAACTTTGCCAGTAGTGCAGCCTTTTCTTTTTGGAGCCAGTACCCTGACCGATACAAAGTTGAAAGCGCCAAATTCAGTGCCCGAGCAGCATCAGCCTCCAGTAACACGATCCAAAACATGAACAGATGATTCCAAAGTCAAACTTGGCATGGGGTTTGGATCGACAGTCAAAATAAAAAAATAGGTTCAACAACACAACAAAGGACAACAATGGAGATTAATTTTGGGATAAGGAGCTATTGTCAGCAGCAAAGGGTCAGCCGTGTTGCCCTCTATGTACTGCCGACAAAAGAAATGCAGGAACATCATCATCTCAGTGGAGGCTTGACCCTTAGACCATTTCCCGATGGGACACGCTGTCCCTGCAGGAAAATTCATGGTGTCTCTGCTGATTTCCCGAACAAATGGGTTCACCCTTCTGCTCTTGAAATAGTTCAAGTAGATTTGGGTAATCCACTGAAATTTGGCCTCCATGCCCACACGCGGCACAGCATCAAGATCTGACTCAAGAATCCCGATGAAAGAACTGGCGCAGAAGTGCTTGCAAATGCCCATGTGGCAATTGTGCCAAAGATCAATGTTGAAAAAGCTCGTTTGGTCTTCCTCTGACAAATGAAGTCCCTGGACGATAGGAGGCGTGACATCCCAAGGCAATTCCTGAAACCTTGTTGAGACCCATGCCGCATTCGGACTGAAGTCCTCGAAAGGCACAGCTGCACGACCTTGATTTGCATCCAATTCCTGCCCTGCCATGCAGGCATGGCAGATCCCACGGCACGCACGTTTGGAGCTTGGACCTCGAGGCACATTGCTGAATGATCTCTTCATCCCTCCTAGTTTCACTAGTGCTGGAAGATCACCCTTTGTACCTATGTGCGCCAGCCAAACTCTTGTTTGACCATCTCTAGACAGCAAGCCTGTCTCCAACAGCATTTGGGCATCAGAGGCAAAGGCAGCAACCAATTTGTCCAATGCATCTGGAACATCAACAAGCACTACCTTCATGGCTGCAGTGAAGATGTAATTTGTGCTCCACGTCTTTCCTACGAAGTTGAGGCCCATGCCGTTCCTCCTAAGAGGTGCTCTATGTTTTCCAGAAGCCAAGTAGAACCTAGTTCCTCTTCCCAATGCGCCGTGGGAAGAAAGAATCCAAATGGGGAGGTGCTTGAACGATCGTCCTTCGTCGCTGTGTGAATAATATGGGATGCAGTTGGACAGCGAAATTGTACCAGCAGCTTCCAATTCAAACACACGATGGTTTGGCCTCAACTGTTTGAACCTCCGCCAATACTCCACCAGCACAGGCTGCATTTTCTCCAAGCTTTTCACTCCAACAAATTGTTTGGGCAACCTGTTCGTGTCCAAAAGGTGTTGGGCCCATGAACTTAGCTTGATGAATGGGAATCGCCTGTACTTTGGTTCTCCAAGATCAATTTCATCAACAGTCACTGGTGCACTGTAGCCATTGTCCACCAAAACTTTGTGAAGCCCTGCTTCAGCATCCTTGAGCCGTACCTGAGCAAATGCTCTCAGTGTACGGCTTGCAGCGACATTCCTTGCCACCTCCGCCCGGGCCAGCTCCACAAGGTGCTTGCAAGGAGCCTCAGCGAACCACAACTCAAAACACTTTGACCCTGTATGGGTGCTGGGGGATCCATATGGAATGGTAGGCTCCGCTGCATGCATTCAAGAAAGTGTTCATGAATGAAAGTTCGAAACCACTCACTAAAAAGTTTGAAACAACGCTGATTCACCACAAGCACAATGCAAAGCAATGACCTTTTTAATTCATTTAATTTCGCCGCCACCAATTGTGGTAGGAGAGGATGTATTCATCCAACTCGCCGCATTTGATCGGCCCTGCCACCGGTGACATAAACAAAATAGGGTGGTGGGCTGGGGTCCTTTCGATTCAGAGCCCCATCACCACCAGTGCCCCTTTGGTTTCTGCATCCCACATGCTTGTGGAACTCGAACACCAAGGCAGCTTCCAACATGTGAACTAAATCAATGCTGGTAGATTTGGCTATGAGCCACATACTCGTGAAATTTTGCTGCTGCATGTAAAAGCTAAATCTCACGGATGGGTCCGCTGTGACCCCGACTTTGAACACAGTCAATTTGATACCTAGCTTTTCTCTGAAGCTAGTGACCTTTTCTATACAATGCTCCAACAGTTTGCCACATGTTGGTCTGGACTTGGCGATGGGCATGAGATGGTCCACCAAGCCCGGGTTGCCACAAAGCACCACGTCCTTCTTGAGAAGCTTGCTCGAATTTTCCTGAGAAGGCAAGACTACGACCAGGAGGGTCAGGGTTACAACTTAGAACACTCAATCACCATGAGCAGCCCTCGACCTCAACCCTTGACTATACTATCCAAGTGTTTCCGCTGAGGTGCATCATTCATGGCGATCTTCCGCTTTGGTGCAGCTACAGGCAGTGACTTTGGAGGATCAGGATGCAAAGGCTCTCGCTGGAAGTAGTCCATGTACAAATCAATGTCTTGTTCAGAATTGGACGAAGTGGGGTTGCAATCATCTGGAAGTCTTGGTGTTTTGATTGGCCTTAGTTCCAAAACCATGAGCTATTGTTGGGAGAGGCTGGGCATTGTCACAACCATTGGACTGTCTCAAATCACCCCAAGTCACGCAGAGGGTGCAGCAGGTCGACCTGCAGTTCTCATACTCCCAGTAACAGGGCAAGTGTAGGTGAGCAGTTCCAGCAGCAAATCATCGTCATCATTGGCCATGAACGGCAAATCTCACACGCATGAAACTATGATGAGTTCAGACCACAAGATGTCACCGGCAGTAGTTGTTACATGTATCCATGCCTGCATGCACATGTATATCTTAAGGACTGAACATGCAAAGCAACACACGATACATGGGCAATGCCATAATATGATAAAGAGCACTGTGGCCACATTTGGAAAGAAGGTTCAAGGATGCACAGTGACATAAAATCCCACCCACTCTTCCCTCCATATGCCTCCAGGCTGACTGAGGAGCCCGACGCCGTTGGCAATGAGGCGGGAACAATTCCGAACAACTTCATCTTGGTCACGTCCACCTGGCTGGAACACAAGGCAATAGGTGAAATAGATGTGCGTGCAAAAGTGCACGCACGAGGGACTGAACAAAGCCATTGAGTTGGGTGCATGTGTGTGTGTGTGCGTGTGCATGGAGAGTGTTGGCTGGCTAGCTTGCATTGTGCTCGCCCATGAAAGGATCAAAGCAGCATGCGTGTGCCTTTTCTCGGGCAAATGCCATCGCTCTCAAAGTCATGCCGTTTCTGACTCTTCACGTGTTAACCATTCCAACACATGTTTGCGAGTCACGGCGCCCAACAAAATCTGGGCCCTGGTCAAGTGAACCTTATGGTCCATCATGGACCGCCCACCCCCGCCCGGTTCAGCCGGAAGAAGAAGTAGGTTGAGCAGATTTCCGAAGAATCTTAAGAAGGTTCCTGGAGGATAGGGGCACAAACAGGTGGGAAACTTCCATGCATGAGTGTAGTCCAAGGCTTCCCAAAATGAGTCATAGGTTGAGCCAAAGTACCTGGCTGCAACCTCCACAGCATTCACTTTGCTGCACCTCAGCCCCGGTGCCCCCTGCATGGCAGGAGCGCTTTTAGAAGTACATGGACAAGGCGCGCCCCGGTGGTTTTGCGGATCTGGGCATCGATCTTCTTCAGGTGCCTGAGAAGATACCAGCTGAACATTCCAAAATGCTGCAATACCAAGTGGTGTGTGTGTGTATTGAAATGGATCTTATGGGCAAGGAGCTCTTTGGCCACAGAATCAGCCAGGTTCTTCTCACTTTCAAGACCGGAAACATCCAATCTCACTTGCTCACAACCTTCATACTCTCGCTCCAGGGTCTCGCATGCCGACTCTAGACCTTGCACTGACCTGAGCTGGTGGGGCCAGCAGAGGATGGCAAAGGACACGGGTACAGCAGTTCTTGGTCCAACTTGTTTCATGAAAGTGTAGTGAAGTCTCAGCAGAAGACTTGGTCACACGTTTTCCTTCAGTACTGTCAGGTTTCTTTCCAGCTTCTTCAAGGGCAGTCTCTAAAAGCTGGCACAACTCCGTAAGCTTGGAAGATCGGGCAAGAAGACTGTTGCTGAACGATACCATTCTTTGTATATTCCTGCAAGTGTTCAATGTTGTTGTTTGTTTGCAAGTTGACATGCGCATGTTTTACCTTGCAATACCTTGCGATGAACACCCAAGAGAAACAGTTCCTACAAGGTTCCTGCTTGGCGCTGTTGGCCTCCTTCGCACCAGCCTCCTTCTCCGACTTGTTGTCATCAGAATCAGGGTCATCTCTCACATGGCCCAGCCGCTGGAATTCGATTTCATCATCTGCAACCTGAGGTTGGAGAGCTTGGGGCCCAGGATTTCGTGAACATATGCTCATTGAGAACATCCTATGGCCTGGAGCCTTATTTTTTTAAAATTTGGGGAGGGAGCATCTTGGTCAACCTTCTCTTGGCGCTCTTCATCTTCTGACAACTCTTCGTCACCCTCCTCATACACAACATAGTATTTCTTGAGCTTCTTATTGTAGCGATCTTTCCTCACGTCCAAGCTCTGGTCATGACCCCATGGGTTAGTGGCAATATCACAAGAACATTGATGTGCTGAGTCTGCTGTGCATTGATTTCAGCTGCATGGCAAACACAGTCCCTTTCATGCAAGAAAGTTTCTTGGTCAGCCGGTCGATGTTTCCAGGTCGCTCGCAATACTCCACCACGCTCTTGATGTAAGACCTGGGATTTTCTGCAGGAGTTTGCCAGTCGCGATCAAGCCTATAGGGAAGTCACCCACAGATCAACAGGTGTTTTGTTGTCAATCTCATAAGACAAGGGGCGCAGACCAGTTCAAAACTCGAGCCATAGCCTCTTTTGTAAACCAACCTCTCTTCTTACGCTTGCTGAGCTTGTTGGTTTTGGACAAGGTCTTGGTGAGTTTGGTGACGAACATATCCTGGGGGAGATCAAGGGCAAAGATAGTAAGCAACTCCACGGTAAAACCCCCATGAAATGAGCCATGCCAAAAGCGCACTACCTGAAATTGTTTGACCAAAAACTGTCCTTCGACCATCCCAACGAATCAAGTTCATCACACATTGCTTCCTTTTCTTCTTTAGTGCTTTTCTTCCATCTCTGGTGAATGTGTTCTGGTACATTACACTTGCCTGACGGTTTCATCTCACACATGCGTCGCAGCCGGTTGAGCCTTGCACCTTCAGTCAGTGGAGGTTTCAGCTCTGCCGGCGGTGTGATCTTGGGCTTGGCAGGCGATGGGGCTGAAATCTTGGGGGGAGGTGTGGTATAAGCACTCTTGGAACTGGATGCATTCTGACCCTTCTTCATTTCTTCCATCTCTAGCTGCATTCTTTGGTTGGCCTTTCAGGGAGAACCAAGCGTGGAGAAAGGCTACAATATGCTACAATATGAACATACTCTGCGTATGTGCAGTCTAAAAAAGTACAATCCCAAATCATGAGGCCTTGCGGAGCTCTTCAATCAACTTGTGCGGGTCCTCTTCTGGTTGTTTCCCCTTCATTCGCTTTGGGGGCTTGGTATTCGGTGATGTCTGGTGTGGCTTGGCAGGGCTGCGAGGGTGTTTCTCTGACGATGCCTTTGGTTGTGCTTTTGCCTTCGCCTTGCTCTTGGCAGACGCTGGTTTCCCAGCTGCCTTCGCAGCTGGCCTGATCTTTGCAGGGCTTCCCTTGGATACAGTACACTGTGGGAACCAACATGAGCTCACAACAGGTATGGTATTCCAACATGAACAAACTTGCCAAGATTCTGGTACGGTATCAGCTTCCTGGGGCCAAACCATTGCTTGCAGGGTTCATGTGGTGTCAAAATGTTTGGGTAGCACTGTCAATGTCCCATATGCAATTGAGAAACACTGGCATCTTTGGCAGCCTTGGCATCCCTCAGCATTTGAAGCTTGCGCTCATATTCCTGAGGTCGCATGAGGGTGATCTTTTTTGGCTTTGGGGCGACATCATAAAACACAAAAGTGTTGCGTTTGGTTTGTGTCTCCTCAATCTCCAGATCAACTTGTGCTTTGCCAGGTGTTTCGGTCTTCACTGCCATGAGCTTTTCATGACCATCTTTCAACTCTCCACAACTCCAAGTTTTTGAAGGAACGGTTTTCCGTTTGGAAAGCTTCCCATCCGCCATCCCTACCCACAACCTGTCAGGTTATGGCTGAACGACGAGCCAAATCCTTGTGGAGGCTCAACTGAGGGGATCAGGAATGGAAGCACATGGGTGAATGCTCAGGATTGGATGGAATTCTTGGCCAAATGACTCTAAAACCATCAAAAACCCGATTGTTGACAAACAGTGATAGTACGGAAATAGTACGTATTCTAGTACGCATTTCTACGACCTTTGTACGCATTTCTACGCCCCTAGTACGGGTACGAATCTCGGTACGGGTTCCATACGTACTAAATCCATACTAAGTACGTATTTTGCAGTTTTTCCAAATATCCTTTAAAATTTAACATATTGCTCCTAAAAACTGTTGCAACCACATCAAAAACAGATGAAACAGCTGAAGTTGGGCAATGAAGAAACATGTCCAGAACGATACGCAGGAGCATGTGTTCGAACAGCTTGCACCTGGAGTGTCACAGGCTAATTAGCACGCATGCATTCATGCGTGCAAAGATTCTGAGCTATAAGGTGCTATATAAGCTCTAGGCTAGAGTTGCACAAACTCCTTCTCTCTCCTTGACCCAACCCAACCAAAGTGCTTGAGGGAAGTGCAGTTGCTTCTTTGAGAGAAGGTGTTGGAATTTGCAACCACTTGATTAAATGTGCGTTGGGAAAAGATGCCTCAAGGATCCCAAACACAATCCCTTGGCTCCACGAAGGTAGCAGAATGTGCTGTCCATTCCAGCATCAAGCCACCAATCAGTGTCCCAGGAAAGACCTTCAAAAAGGTAAACTCCTAAGTTGAGATGTTCTCCCTCAATGCCGGCACCAAACTCCAAAGTCCGCTTCGCACAGAACCTGGAGTGAAGCTTGGTGATCTTCTTCGCGAAGCCAGGTGGATACGTCCTGGGCAACAACTGTGACACGGGACAACAGACCAAGTGGTGCAACATGTTTTCTTGGGGTCAATGATTGGACCATCTGTCAAAAACTTTTTGGTTTCAGAAAGGTTCCGTTCATAATGCTTCTTGACCAATAGTACAGTACACGACACCATGAGTTTGGGTGTGGAAGCTTTATATTGGGCGATGTTGATTGGTCTAGTTTAGAAAAAAAGCAATATCAATGTACAGGCACTGTGTTTGTTTGAGGAAAGATGAGCCGCAAAAGGCCACCTTGCCACGTTTGTTTCTGTACTTCTTGGTGGACTTCACACCCTGTAGTTTGTAGTGCGCCCTCACCATCTGACCCAAATCCAGAAGCTGCACTGTCGGGGAATTTGACCAGGCTATATGCCTTTTTGCCGTGGCAGAGCCATACATGCAGGCCCACCACCGAGCTTCATACACCTGCATGCACGATTAGTTGAAAAAGATCTCTACCACAAAGAAAAGCACTCACAACACATCCACATGTCCACTGACATGCAACTGGATTTTGTTTGTGGGTTTGGTCACTGTGGCCTTTGGAAGTAGCCTCCAAAGCAGTCTAATCCTAGGATGCCATATCACAAGGCTGCTTCGGGGCTGTTCCAATATCCACGTCCCTCCCATGGCCGTGATGGCCAGGATGAGGAGAGCTGTCCTGGAGCGACGAGAAGGCAGCGCGATCAGCACCAAGTTCGGAGTGTGTGGGAGGGGTTTGATGAGGATTGCTCATGTTTAGTTTCGCCTTTGATAGCTTGTGAGTTTTTTGAAAAACAGCATCGATGTCCATCCTTTTGAGAACAGCTTCCACAGTTCCACCCTTGAACAATTTCCTTTGGTGGGGTAATGTGTTGCACCCTTTAAATCCCTTAGCTGCATGATAATTCACGACCCACAGTTGCAACTTGCAAGCTGGTGAAGGCTCCTTGAAGTCAATTGGTTTCCCATATTCACAAATCCAAATTCATCACGACCCATAGGAAACCATGGTGCCCGATTGTGTGTCCCTTGCGACACGGTGACCCAGCTGCTGCATACCAAGCCGATGACCACGAGAAAGTTCTCGAATTTGCAATTGAGAATGGACAGGAGCACTAACCTTAGAAACTGATTTGGATAAGCAAAGGTCCACAATGTGTTTTCAGGGTGGGCTTGGATTTACAAGCAATGGTGGTCATCATGGTCTATCACTTTTGCAATCAAAAAGCGCGAATCCAGCATCTGACAATAAGTCCATTGCATCTTGCTTTCCGGGCACTGGTTCTCCATACGATATGTCAAAGCTTGCGGATGCGATACCATTCACTTTCATCAGTTTAGTCACCCATCCCTTGCCTGAGAAGAGCTCCAGAAAGCTGTATGCCTGGCCCGGGCACTGCATGCAAATAGTCTGTGGCGTATTGTTTTTTGTGGCTGTTTGCTGACAATCTTTTTGTGGCGTTTTGTGGTATACGGTATACTGTACTCTCCCTCAAAACCCAGCAGTCAACCATGGTTCCAACTGCCTCATTGAAAACATCAAAGTCCTTGTTCAAGGCCAGAAGCAAAATGCAGGCCATCAAGGCCTCGGGAGGCTGGGAGACACAGGTTTGATGCGTACGCGACCAAATCCTCTTAAACCAACCAGCGTCACAAGATATGGTTGCAGAGTTCAGTTTTGTCACTCAGTCCATGGAAACTCTGATTTGATCAAACCATTGGGCCCAGTGTCTTTTGGTGCCCCAATCGAATACAATCTCTGCAGCACTATGTTGAGCTTTCTCTGCTTCACCCCATCCATGGTCTCCAAAGCCATGGCTGACAGCAAGTGTCCTAAATGGCCGGGATCTTTGTAACCCTCAGCCCCAAACCAAAATGATCTCAGGGGACTTGCGATTGTGCTTGCACTGCAGTTGCGTCGCTGATGACACCAAAAAACATTTGCTGTGCACAGGAGAAAATCATCCTTTGTATATATTGCGTATTCAATTCAGTTCTCTGATATTCTCCGATACTTGCCAAACAAATCGTTTTGTGTTTGGATTCAAAAGGCACTTGACACATTTTGTGAGGTCAGTTTACTCTGAAATCCATGTCCCATCTCAGACCTCCTGACTTCAACCTGCACATAGCAAATCATGCCAGGGCTGCGGAGGTCATTCACGTGAAAGTCACTCCTGAGGTCATTGTTGTGAAAGTCAACCTCCATGGCTGGTCTTGGCCTCAGAAGAATTGGCAGGACCAGGATGAAGTGCCAGACAGGGAGGCAGGTGGTAGGTTGAAAGAGAGGCCCCTGTGAGGTTACCTTTTTTAGAAATCAATTCCAAAGCTTCCCAGAGCAACATGGGCAAGAGGAGCACAAAGCTGGGCCTTAGTGTTTGTGGTTTGTTGCGGTGGTGGCCATTTTTGAACATGTTTTCCCCAAAGAAGCAGCAACAACGATGGCACTCTATAGGGTGGGCCCATAGTACCACCTGTCAGCAATAGCGGTCGTCAAGCTTTGAATGAACATGGGTTTGCAAGAACAGTGCCCATTCCTACCAAAAGCATCAAAAATAGATATGTGCAACATGATCTATACTAGACCCTGGCTGAGTACATGTGTCAACTGACCGCCACCTAAGCTGACTTAGGCTGTTCAATGCCATATCGTTGTGATATTGCTCACCCAACTCTAAGTCTCGAATTTGCCATGATTGGCCTTCGCCAATGGACGCAGCACGGCTGGCTGCTTTCAATTTCTGGCTGAAGCACTGGGTGATATATCGAAAAGATACTAGTTTCATAAATTCCAACCATTGATGACGTCAATCTTCATAGTTTGATTCAAGTCTAAAGCAGTTGTACGGAGCGCCCAGGCTTCAACGCAGCAACACAACTATGCGCGCTGCTCCGCCAGGAACTCAGAGGCAGTAGACTCTGCCAGGGTATGGATGTTGCCTTCGTTCACCTCCATGGATTGCCACTTTTCCGTAGCGTGCTTCCAAAACTTGTCCTCAAGCGAGGTTGACTGTGAGATTGCATGTGAGGGTGGTATATGGTGGTTTTAAAAGGATTGACTCCTGGAGCAGTCTGAGGATGTCCTAGGTCTCAGCTCCATGCCTCTAACCGACCCTTATCAAAGTAAGACCAGTTTGGGAAAGGTATGCGCACTGTTTGGAAATAATTTTGCAAGCTGGGGGGAAACATGCAAATACTTAGTGAAAGTTTCGCTGGCACACCCGAATGCTCTAAACTTCAAAATGATACCCTTGCCAATTGCACAAGCACTGGCTCGACCAACAGTGACCAGAGCAATGACAACTCCGACTTCATCGCAATTTGGGATACGACGTAATACAAATGGGTTCCAGCTCAAGGTTCAGAAGACCAACAAGATTTGGGCACCCAGGATTCGAATGGGCATCGATTTCCAAAAGTTTGACCTACTAAGATTGAGCCATTTGCTTGCACCCAAAACTTATAAACACACACACACACACCCACTCTTCACCCTTGTGGGGCCTCAGCAGCCGAGTAGTGAGTGAGGTGCGGTTTGATCACTTCGTTGAAGGCCCCTCTCAAAGCATTCCACTTCAGCCGACCAAACTCTGACGTTGGCTCCGCCCTCCTCGCAAAGGTAGAAGGCGCCCCGCCGACCTTTCTCTTCGTAGGTTTGCGGTTGGCTTCCTTGCATTCTTTCTTCTCGCCTTTCAAACCATCATTTTCAACTGGTTCTTCCTTCAGCCCGCTCCTCTCAGTTTCCTGGGTTTTGTCCTTTTTGGCCCTCTTCTTCGCCTCAGGCTTGCTGGTACCACTCTTTTGCGTGATTGCGGAAGCCTTCCTCACCCGCTTGGTAGGCCCTGGTGCTACCTCACCTTCTTCATGTTCAGCACCATCAGAAGCCACCTCCTCATCTTCATTCTCCTCTTCCTCCTGCACCTCTTCTTCTGGTGCTTCTTTAAATTCCCGGGCCGGGGAAGTCTTCTTTGCTTTGCTCTTGGCCTTAGCCTTGGCCTTAGCCTTGGCCTTTGAGGCATTTGCCTTCGCCTTGGCAGCTGCCTTACCTTTTGCCTTTCCCTTCGGACGTCCTGGAGTCTTCTTTTTCTTCTCCTTCTCATTCTCATTGCCTTCCTCACACTTCAATTTTAGCTGATCCCGACGCAATACCTGAAGATGAGGCAAACAACATGAGGAAGAGAATTAATGCAGGAGGGAGCCAAAGATTCCACATAAAGAACAACAGATTTTCTTGAAAAGGCGTGTGACTCATGACTAAGGTAAAGTAAGCCCAACGACAAAAAGACCATATAAGTATAATCAAACAGGCTACAGTGGGACATTTAGGGACCTCAACTTCTCGAGTCTCCGAGAACATTTTGGCCAAATGCTCCATTTCCATAGAGTGCAGCAGTTGGGTTTCCCCATCCTCTCCCACCTCAGGCAAGCTCTCCAAGACCAAGTGCGGAGTCGACTTTCCACGTTGCAAGGCTTGGCTGGCCATCCTCAGCAAAGCCGGTTCGAAGACAATGGTCACTGATTTGCTTGTAAAGTAAAAAACTATACGGACCCCATATCCAGTCCTCCAATATCACCCATCTTTATTTCCACACAAAATGTGTCCGAGTAAATGACCAAATGTCTGGGAAGCTCGTTGCTTTTTGGCAACCGACAACTTGGCAGTTAGCTCACTGATTTGATCTTCTATCGACTGCCTGCTGTCGATCAAGTTCTTAGCGCACTGTTCCCAGCTTTTGTCTTCCTCCACCATATCCGTTTTCTCTGGGCTGTCTCCAATAAGATAGACTGGAACCTCGGTGGGAGCAGCATCAGAAGAAGCAGGGGCCGCAAGCGGTGCAGGATCAACTTGCATTTCAGGATCCTGGCTATCCTCCATGAAGGCGCTACCCTCCGCCGCTTCTCTACCCTCAGCTTCTTCTTGAAGAGGAATGGAATCCTCCATCAAAACCCCCCCCTCAGCTTCTTGTTGAAGAGGAATGGAATCCTCCATGAAGGCGCTACCCTGAGCTTCTTCTTGAAGAGGAATGGCATCCTCATCATCCAGCTGTCCATCCGACTCCACACCTGCAATCTCCACTTCGTCCACATCTTGCTCTGGTTCCCCCTCAGGGTCCTGGAAGTCAGAATGGTTTGGTGGAAAAATACAAAATCAGCCACATGCATGATGAACCAGGATCAAAAGACACCAAACCCACAAGCTTTCAATGTTTCAACTTATGATATGATACAAGTTGTTTCCTTAAAATAGGCAATGACAGAGAAACAAAGCTCCTGGAAAGTCAACTTTTCTTCATCATCACGGTCGCCAAAAACCATGACCATCAAACTCTGGAACAAGGGGTCCCGGCAAACTTGCTCGCGCTGAAGCTTTCGTTTCAGAAGCACCATGCTTCCCTTGGCTAACTTTGCCTCATTCTTGAGATCCTTCTTGGATGGCAATGGGATTTTGAACCTGCCGTAGAGGGATTTGATCCTAGGAGCGCAACAGACAGCCAAGAAGAGTACCTACGACATCAAGTCTTTTATTGATCTTTTGGCCCAATGCCCCAATGATGGTAGGTTGATGGTGGAACACAAAAAAAATCAGACTTGTTGCAGGTGAGATTCTCTTTCAAAAGGTCAGGCACCGTGAACATCCCAACCGTCCCAGGTGGATTCTGCAAACGTTGAGCTAGGGGCTTCAGCACTTCAAAGTTCATGCTGCAGCAAGCAACAGTGGCCGATAGGGTTTCCTTCCCCTCTTCAGGCAAGAACAGACGACGTTTCTCCCGCATCCTCTCACGTAAATCAGCAGAAGAGTCCCACTCATCCACCACACCAGCAAGGGATGCCATGCCCAAGGAAGAGTACCAGAAACAGCACAAAAACTTGAATCAAAAATTTGGCTGAGGAAACAAAAGGCATGATTTGTCCAAACAGTGCGCCAGGTCCAGTGAAGCTGACACAACGGGATGCAGTGTATCATAATGGATTTGTTTAACCTATGAACTATTTTGCTATGGTAGCAACAAACACGTTGGGGGATCATGGTCCTTTCAGACTTGGTTATACTTCAAGGACAAGTTTGTCCACAAATGCCCATTCTTTCGAGTTGTGACCAGCATCCCGGTTGGCTGAGGCCCCCAACAGGTCAAAATGACCAGCTCGATGACCAGCGGCCGGTGGCTACACCGGGAAAATGTTCGCTGCGACGAACGTGGATGTGAGTGGCCGGTGGGGAAACCGGGGCTGTGATTGGATACCAGTCCAAAGATGCACACCAGAAAACCTTCTATGATCTTCTTGGCCCAATGATCATCAATAATCTAATGAGAAGCAGTGTATTTGAAGTGGAGGGTGGCCAAAGAGTTCATCCAATCTTTAGATGAACATCACCAAATAGCACTTGAGGGTGTGCATCTGGTCACTTGTCCTGGGATGTCCTGGGCCTGGGTCCCAAAACGCAACCCTTTCGCAAAACACGCTCCTTTGTTCAAAAGGAAGGATTTCGGTTCCAAGACCGACTTTTGAAAGCGACCTCTAAAAAGGAAGGTCAGGGAGGCTGCAGGTATATATATTTCACTGTACATGTACACGCAAG